GATACCCCCCCCACACAGCATTGTTGTCTATGTCAATTGGTTATGTATATATGCCTATAAGTTCTTTGATTTATCTCTTCCCTCCACCCCGCAACCCACCTCTGAGGTTTGTCAGTCTGAACCCTACTTTTTTCTATGTCTCTGGGTCTATTTTGTTCATCAACTTTTTTTTTTCATTATGTTCCACAAATAAGTGAGATCATGTGATATTTGTCTTTCTCTGATTGGTTTATTTTGCTTAGCATAACACTCTCCAGGTCCCTCCATGTTATCTCAAAGGATAAAAATCTTTCTTTTTTACAGCTGCATAGTATTCCATTGTATATATGTACCACAGCTTTTTTATCCACTCATCTATTGATGGACACTTGGGCTGTTTTCCAATCTTAGCAATTGTAAATAGTGCTGCTATGAACATAGGGGTACATATATTCTTTCTGATTGATGTTTCAGGCTTCTTTGGGTATATTCCTAGAAGTGGGATCACTGGGTCAAATGGCAGTCTCATTTTTAATTTTTTGAGGAAACTTCATGTTGATAAATTTGCCCTCTGGATTTACACATTGATCTCTAATGAAGTTTGTTAATTGGAGGCAGCAATGAGCATATGATAATCTAGAAGACTCTAAGAAGACTGAGCTTGCTGAGAAATACCCCTAGACAGTGGAGAGATCACTAAAGTGTTGTGTGAGCACCAACCATGCTTTGAATTTTACTGAAGATAGTTTTCCTCAAGAAAATATTTCTTATCTACAGTTTTGAAAACATTTAATTAAGAAATTTAATAAAGTTTCTAGAGAAACTTTGCTGCTGACTCAGCATTGCTCAAAAATTAATTAAAAATAATAGCTAAGATTTGGAAGTAGCCCAACTGTCCATCAGTAGATAAGTAGATAAAATAGCAGTGATACATTTACATAGTGGAATACTACTCAGCTGTAAAAAGAAGGAAATCTTACCTTTTGTGATAGCATAGATGGACCAGGAGATTATTATGCTAAGTGAAATAAGCCAGTCAGAGAAAGACAAGTACCATGTGATTTTTTTTTATATGGGGAATCTAATGAAGAAAATAAACTAACAAACAAAATAGAAACAGAGTCATAGACATAGAGAATAGTGACAGCTGTCAGAGAGGAAAAGGGTTGGAGGCTGGGTGAAAAAGGTGAAGAGATTAAGTTAAAAAGAAAAAAAAACATAGACACAGACAACAGTATGGTGATTACCAGAGGGAAAAGGGGGTGGAGAGAGGTAAAACAGGGTAAAAGGGGGATAATAGTGATGCAAAGAGACTTGACTAGGGTGGTGAACACACAGTACAATATACAGATAATATATTGTAGAAGTGTACACCTGAAACCTGTATAATTTTATTAACCAATGTCACCCCAATAAATTCAATAAAATAAAAATTAAAAATGCAAACAAAAATAAAAATAAAAATGTATGTACTTTTTCTTTCTTTCAGGAGTTAGCCTGAAGTACATCTTTATGTTTGTTGGGAGGATCAAACTCCCGGTTCAGATCCTGCCTTTTGTATCTGAAAGCAAGCCACAAGATAGAATATTGCTGGGCTCTGTGTCTTTCTGCTTTCAAAGATGGAGAAAATTACTATGCTGTTTTCACCCAGCAAGGCTTTCCTTCCTTCCCTGGACTGCCTCTGCACCTTTCATTCTCTCTGCTGCTGGGCAGATATGATGCCTGTCACCAATCAGGACCCTTCTTTTTCAGCTGATGAAAAAGGTGAGCCCACTGGGTGAGTGGTTTTGCTTATTATCACTACTAATACCTTGGATTTTATTGAAAGCCTTCCTTTTAGGACTCTGAATTACACAGATATACTTGTTATCCTCTCTATAATCCTTTGAAGTAGCAGAAACTCAACATTTATAAAAAACAGAGCTGATGCTGACCCTCCCCTCAAGTTGACTTAAGCATATTGTTTGTATACTGCATTCTGGCCACCAGGACTCTATTAATAAGCAGATCTGAACATCAAAGTAGGCTGAGATTTTTTAAAAATCCATATTATTTATGTCACTTTAGAATCCTGAAGGATTTAAAAAATTAACTGAGAAAAAAATTTGTTGTATTTCATCTTGGCTTCAATAGTCAGTATGGATGTGTAATAGTCAAAATCTTTGAGAATTTTTACCCCCTCCACATGCCATATCCTGTTGCTTGATTAATGTGAATACCAAAGAACTTTTGATGTTTAAAAAATTTCATGTATCTGCCCTGGCCGGTTTGGCTCAGCAGTTAGAGCATCGGCCTGTGGTCCAGAGAGACCCGGGTTTGGTTCCCGCAGAGGGCACGTACCTCGGTAGCAGTTTGTCCCCGACCCTGGTTGGGTCATGCGGGTGGCAGCCACTTGATGTGTCCCTTTCATGTCGATGTTTTTCTCTCTCTCTCTCCCTCCCACTCTATCTGAACAAGAAATGGAAAAAGGTCCTCAGGTGAGGATAAAAAAAAGTTCAGATTTCTGCCCTGGCCCGTTTGGCTCAGCGGTTAGAGCGTCCGCCTGCGGTCCGGAGAGGCCCGGGTTCGGTTCCCGCTAAGGGCATGTACCTCGGTTGCAGTTTGTCCCCGGCCCTGGTTGGTCGTGCGGGTGGCAGCCACTCGATGTGTCCCTTTCACATCGATGTTTCCCTCTCTCTCTCTTCCTCTCTCTCCCTCCCACTCTATCTGTACAAAAAGTGAAAAAATGTCCTCGAGTGAGGATAAAAATAAAAAATTTCAGATTTCTAAGTTGTGCCCTATACCCACTGAGTCAGAATCTCTTGGATGGAACCAAGGCCTTTCTCTCTCTCTCTGTGTGAGTCTCTCTCTCTCTATGTATGTATGTATATGTATATATATATATATATATATATATATTTCTGTATGTATAGTATTTATTTTAATTTTAAGTTACACAAGTAGAAAAATGGTATTTCCCATTTAACATCAACATTTATCAAAACTCTTGTTTTAGTTTAAACTGTATTTTGTTTGTTTGTTTACTGGAGTATTTTTATTTTATTTTTTTATTAATCAATTTTTGTTACAGACGTTTCTCCTTTTCCCCCCACTGATTCCCCCCTCCCCCTCCCTCCCTGCCCTTTCCCCAGCTTTGTTATCCATGTGCATTGTTCATGCAGACATGCATATAAGTTCTGTGGTTTCTCTCTCCCCCACCATCCCCTCTTCTGGGGATTGTCAGTCTGTACCCCACCTCCACGTCTCTGGGACTACCCCATTCCTCAGACTGTTGTGTTCATTATATTCCACAAATAAGTGAGATCATATGAAACTTGTCTTTTTCTGTTTGGCTTGTTTCACTTAGGATGATACTTTCCAGGTCCCTCCATGTAGTCTCAAAGGATAAGAGATCCTTCTTACAGCTGCATAGTTACTGGAGTATTTTTAAAGCAAATCCAGACTTCAGATCATTTATTTTTTAAAAAATTCAATATTTATCTCATGTTTTAAGAAAACATGACCAAATTATCATTATCACAACCACAAAGTTAATAACAATTATTTGTTATCTAGTCCTAGTCTGTGTTTAATTTTCCCTAGTTGTTTCAAAAAATGTTTTCTACATAGTTTGTGAAAATTAAAATCCTGACAAGGTTTATACAGTACATTTAGTTGACATATTTCTGAAGTCTTTTTTCTGATAGTTCTTCTGTTTCTTAGTACACTATATACAATTTTCTCCATCTAACAGTATATAGAAATATTCATATTTTTTTATAGCTGCATAGAACTCCATTGGTAGATGTACCACATTTTGTTAAACCTTTCCCTTGATGATGAATATCTGTGTTGTTTTTAGCTGTTGGCTAATAAAAATAGTATAGTTTATCAGTGTATTTTTGGTATAGATTCCTAGTGGTGAGATTTCTGGGTCAATTACTGAATATTTAATTTTGCTCTATTATCAGGATATTCTTTTTCTTGGATACTATATTTTGCCTTGATTTAAACTTTTATGTTGTTTTATGGGGAATTATGTCAATTGATAACTTGCTGCTTTGCTTATCACCAGCTTTCTTTTTGCCCTCAAGACTCCCTTTCACTGGGATAGATGACTTACTTCAAAGTCTTCAGGTCTTTGTTTTCATGGTTACCAGGTTCTGAAAACTGTACCTAGCCAAACAGCCAACTCACTTATAATGCAGTTTATTGGCATTGTTAAATTATGTGTTATCCAATTGGATAGAAATTTTCTAAACACTTTATGCCTAAAAATTGGTGTTTATATTCCAAAATCCACAAACAATAGGGCCCTGTGGGAACCCATTCACCACTACCCATACTCTAGTGTACCAAATTAAGATAATTGCTCCCAGGAAATTTTAAAGAACGACAGTTATTCTGCCTCAAAGTTCCCCATCACAATTGAATGATTCAACAAATTTAGGGGAAGAGGAGGTACTCTATTGTATATTTTGGAAATTAGACTAAGTATTTAGAAAAAAAAACACTTTTAAGATTAAAGCAGAGTCTGAGAAAACTTGAGATGTAAGAAAATAAGAATGCATGAAGACCAGCAACTACTAAAATATTCAAAACAAAAAGAAACAAGTTATTATGGATAAGTGATATTCCAAACAAACATTCAAGAATATGAATATGCCTATTAAAATCTCCCTGTTAGCCCTGGCCGGTTTGGCTCAGTGGTTAGAGCGTCGGCCTGCGGTCCGGAGAGACCCGGGTTCGGTTCCCGCTAAGGGCACGTACTTCGGTTGCAGTTTGTCCCCAACCCTGGTTGGTCGTGCGGGTGGCAGCCACTCGATGTGTCCCTTTCACGTCGATATTTCTCTCTCTCTCTCTCTCTCTCTGTTCCTCTCTCTCCCTCCCACTCTACCTGAACAAAAAAATGGAAAAATGTCCTCAGGTGAGGATAAAAAAAAAAAAAAAAATTAAAAAAAAAAAAAAAATCTCCCTGTTAGCACAGGAGCGACGTCCTCGGACCCTCCGCATCTCTCTGCAGTAGTTTGAGCCGAAACACGCTGGAGGACCTCAGCCATGTCGAAGCCCCATAGCGGTGTTGGGACAGCCTTCATTCAGACACAGCAGCTGCATGCAGCCATGGCTGACACGTTCCTGGAGCATATGTGCCGCCTGGACATTGACTCACCACCCATCACGGCCAGGAACACTGGCATCATCTGTACCATCGGCCCTGCTTCCCGATCAGTGGAGATGCTGAAGGAGATGATTATGTCTGGAATGAATGTGGCTCATATGAACTTCTCTCATGGATCTCACGAGTACCATGCAGAGACCATCAAGAACTTGCGCACAGCCACAGAAAGCTTTGCTTCTGATCCCATCCTCTACTGGCCAGTTGCTGTGGCCCTGGACACTAAAGGACCTGAAATCCGAACTGGACTCAACAAGGGCAGCAGCACCGCGGAGGTGGAGCTGAAGAAAGGGGCCACGCTCAAGATCACTCTGGATGATGCCTACATGGAAAAGTGTGATGAGAACACCCTGTGGCTAGACTACAAGAACATTTGCAAGGTGGTGGACGTGGGCAGCAAGATCTATGTGGATGATGGACTTATTTCTCTGCGGGTAAAGGAGATAGGTGCTGGCTTCTTGGTGACAGAAGTGGAGAATGGTGGCTCTTTGGGCACCAAGAAGGGTGTGAACCTCCCTGGGGCCGCTGTGGACCTGCCTGCTGTGTCACAGAAGGACATCCAGGATCTGAAGTTCGGGGTAGAGCAGGATGTAGATATGGTGTTCGCGTCTTTCATTCGCAAGGCATCTGATGTCCATGAAGTCAGAAAGGTCCTGGGAGAAAAAGGAAAGAACATCAAGATAATCAGCAAAATCGAAAATCATGAGGGTGTTCGGAGGTTTGATGAGATCCTGGAAGCCAGTGATGGGATCATGGTTGCTCGAGGTGATCTAGGCATTGAGATTCCTGCAGAGAAGGTCTTCCTTGCTCAAAAGATGATGATCGGGTGGTGCAACCGAGCTGGAAGCCTGTCATCTGTGCCACACAGATGCTGGAGAGCATGATCAAGAAGCCACGTCCCACCCGGGCTGAGGGCAGTGATGTGGCCAATGCAGTCCTGGATGGAGCCGACTGCATCATGTTGTCTGGAGAGACGGCCAAAGGGGACTATCCGCTGGAGGCTGTGGGCATGCAATACCTGATTGCCTGTGAGGCAGAGGCCGCCATCTACCACTTGCAATTATTTGAGGAACTCCGCCGCCTGGCGCCCATTACCAGCGACCCCACAGAAGCTGCCGCCGTGGGCGCCGTGGAGGCCTCCTTCAAGTGCTGCAGTGGGGCCATAATCGTCCTCACCAAGTCTGGCAGGTCTGCTCACCAGGTAGCCAGGTACCGCCCCTGTGCTCCCATCATTGCTGTGACCCATAATCACCAGACTGCTCGCCAGGCCCCCCTGTACCGTGGCATCTTCCCTGTGGTGTGTAAGGACCCAGTGCAGGAGGCCTGGGCTGAGGATGTGGACCTCCGGGTGAACTTGGCCATGAATGTTGGCAAGGCTCGAGGCTTCTTCAAGAAGGGAGATGTGGTCATTGTGCTGACCGATTGGCGTCCTGGATCTGGCTTCACCAACACCATGCGTGTAGTGCCTGTGCCATGATGGGCCCTAAGCCTCTCCTCCAGTCCCTGACCCATCCTTTTCCCCCAACCCATGCATTAAGCCAGCGATGCTTGTATTGCTCACTTGGAGCTGTAGTGTGGCACTGGTCGGCTGGGACACCAGAGAAGAAGATTAATGCCTCTGTAAAACATGATGAGTTTTAAGACCTTGCTCAGGTGAGGTAGCCCTGAGCCAGACTGCCCATCTTATCGCCCCACCCAAGCAAGAGGGGCAAAGGTGCAGGACTGGAGGCTCCAGAGCTTTACATAGAGGGCAGCAACTCCTGCTTCTCCTGTGTGTACTCCATCCAGTTCTTGTAGAAATGGATACTCCGAGAACTCCTGAGCCTAGCCTAGGGTCAGAAGACACAACTAGAGAAGGCAGTGGTTCCAGTTTCAGCAGACTCTGGCCCTGGCCTTCACTTGCTTGTCCAACCCCCTCAGCCTCCCTACTCCCACCTAGTTGTGCACTCCTGTTCCTGCACTCCACTCAGCTGTTTCTGCAGACAAACACTCCACCCTCCACCTTCGTTTTCCCCACTACTGCAGCCGCCTCCAGGCCTGTTGCTATAGAGCCTACCTGTATGTCAATAAACAGCAGCTGAAGCAAAAAAACAAATATCCGTGTTAATTTATCTAAGCTGTACCTGTACTTTTTTTTGAGACTGGCCTAGACTGGGCCAAATCACATCTAAATGGGTTAAATAAGCAACCAAACAGATGAGGGGACCTTGACATGAGCCAACAATGGGTCTCTATTCCCTGATGCAAAACGTTTGTGGTGACTTCTTTCAACCAAATGCTGGTGACTTGGGCATGTGGGAAAGAAATATTCTGTTGTACATTTTAGCCAGGAAATGGTACATTCTTTTCTTTCCATTCTCATACTTCTCAGAAATCGCACTGAAATGTTGAGTAAAAACTGAAGATGTTCCACTAACCATTTGCAAACTAAATGCAACTTTGAGGTCAAAGAGACCAGAGTTTAACCTCAACCTCTCCGTGGCTGTGTAACTTTGTCCATGATATGAAAATCCTGAACTTCATTTCTTTTCTGTAAAATGAAGATAATAATGCATATCTGTGGTATAAGCCCTAAAATTAAGGCCCAATATAATGTGCTGCCTTGACATCTGGTAAAATCAGGAGAACCTTTAATGATCTAACCACAAATCCCTCCTTTCTCTGCTCTGGTGGATAAGGTCCCCTAGGCAAACAACCGTCCTTATCATGGGGACCAGGCAGATTCTTGCTTATCCCTGAGTGGCTATTTTATTTCTCTGCCAGGCCATGAAATTATACAAAAAAGCTAATCACATTCTCCTGTGCGAACCTGGGGGCATCTAACCCTCTTGATACTGCAAAGCCTGACTTCTATAGCACCTGATGATTCACTTTGTTCCCAAGTAAAACCCTCATGTGGCCTTGCATGACATTGTGTCCTCTCCCTCTGAGCTAAGAATATATGTGACTAGTAAACTGCTGTCAATGTCATTTGTCCAGTGTTGGGTGTCATGTGCTCAGCCATCCTCACTACCCTAGGGTAAAAATCTGTCCCTCATCATAATGGGAGAGATATATCACACAACACTGTAATCTTGATTTACTTGTCGAAGTATGGAAGTGAAGGTATAGAGGTAAATCCAGGGTTTTCTGGGAGCCAAAAGAGGGCATAAAACTCAGTAGATTTAATCACTTTTTCTATAGTATGCAGATAATGATACATCATAAGGTTGTTTTGAAGATTTAAATAAACATTGCATAAAACCCTTATCCCAGTTTCTGGCATATAGTAAGGGCTTAATAAACAGTAGATTTAGTTGAATTTAAAGGACTACTAGGCATTACCAGTTTTTTTTTTAATTTTTTTATTTATTTTTTTGTTACAGATGTTTCTCCTTTTTTACACCATTGGCACCCTCCTCCCCACCCCAACCCCGCCCCGTCCCCTGCTTTGTTGTCCATGTCCATTGGTCATGCATACATGCCTATAAGTTCTGTGGTTTAGCCCCCCCCCCTCTTCTGAGGGATGTCAGTCTGTGCCCTACTTCCATGTTTCTGGGTCCACCGTATTCCTCAGACTGTTATGTTCATTATATTCCGTATATAAGTGAGATCATGTGGTATTTGTCTTTTTCTGCTTGGCTTATTTCACTTAGGATAATACTTTCCAGGTCCCTCCATGTTGTCTCAAAAGATAAGAGATCTTTCTTTCTTACAGCTGCATAGTACTCCATTGTGTATATGTACCACTGCTTTTTTATTCATTCGTCTTCTCACTGATGGACACTTGGGTTGCTTCCAGATCTTAGCTATTGTAAATAGTGCTGCTATGAACATGGGGGTACATATATTCTTCCTGATTGGTGTTTCAGGCTTCTTAGGGTATATTCCTAGAAGCAGGATCACTGGGTCACTGGAAGTTCAATTTTTAATTTTTTGAGGTAATACCATGTTGTTTTCCGTAGTGGCTGCACCAGTCTGCATTCCCACCAGCAGTGCACTAGAGTCCCCTTTTCCCCACACCCTCGCCAACACTTGTTGTTTGATGATTTGTTGATGGTGGCCATTCTGACAGGTGTGAGGTGATACCTCATTGTTGTTTTAATTTGCATCTCTCTGATGATTAGTGATGTTGAGCATTTTCTTCATATGTCTCTTGGCCATTTGTATACCAGTTTTTTTTTTTTTTTTTTTTAAAGTATCACACAAGTGGAAAAAACCCTCATTTGTTTCCAGGGATTATCATTTTCATGTTTTGTCCCCCAAGAATATCTTTCGTAGAAAAAACAACAACAGCCAATTAAGATGAACAGAATAATGCTGCTGCTTGTGTTATGCAGTGCACAGTGTAAGTGCTAATACCATTGACACAGAAGTCCCTGAGGAATTCTGTAAAACCTCATGGAAATCAATTGTTTTGCCAACCCTGACATGTTTCTTAGGCAGCTAGGATTGGTTGATTCTGTAGATTTTGTTTGCTCATTTGTTTCTTTCCTTTTTCTTCTTCTTTTTTAAAATGTATTTTTATTGTTGAGAATATTGCAGATGTCCCCCATTTTCCCCCTTTGCCCCCCTCCACCCTGCTCCCCCTCACCCCAGGCCTTCACCACACTATTATCTGTGTCCATGGGTTATGTATATATGCATATAAGTTCTTTGGTTAATCTCTTCCTGTACCCCCATTCCCCCTGAGGTCTCTGTCTGTTCCATGCTTCCATGTCTCTGGACCTATTTTGTTTGTCAGTTTATTTTGCTCTTTAGATTCCACATATAAGCGTGATCATGTAGTATTTGTCTTTCTCTGACTGGCTTATTTCACTTAGCATAATAATCTCTAGGTACATCTACACTGTCTCAAAGGGTAAGAAGATTCTTCTTTTTTACAGCTGCATAGTAGTCTATTGTGTAAATACACCACAGCTTTTCAAAAATTGATCTTGCCCTGGCCAGTTTGGCTCAGCGGTTAGAGCATTGGCCCACGAACCAGAGAGTCTTGGGTTCGGTTCCTGCTCAGGGCATGAGCCTGGGTTGCAGTTCGTCCCTGGCCCCAGTTGGGGTTGTGTGGGTGAATCAGTCAATGTGTCTCTCTCATGTCGCTGTTTCTCTCTCTCTCTCTCTCTCTGTCTTGCTCCCTCTCTCTCTCTCTTACTCCCTCTCTCTCTCCCACTCTATCTGAAAATAAATACAAAAATGTCCTCAGGTGAGGATAAAAAAAAAATGAAGTTAACTTCAAAAAATAAAATAAAAAATAAAAATTGCTCTTTATTTTTATTTTACAGATGTTTCCCCCTTTTTACCCCTTTCTTCCCCTCCACCCTGCTTCCACCCACCCCAGGCTTCCAATGCACTATTATCTGTATTCATGGGTTATGCATATATGCATATAAATTCTTTGATTAATCTGTGCCTGCCACCCCCCCCACCTTTCCTCTGAGATTCCTCAGTCTGTTCCATGCTTTCATATCTCTAAATCTATTTTGTTCATCAGTTTATTTTGTACATTGGATTCCAAATATAAATGACAACATATGATACTTATCTTTCTCTGACTGGCTTGTTTCAGTGCATGGGTCGATGCTCAACCATTGAGCCACACTGGCCAGGCTGACTGGCTTATTTCACTTAGGATGATGGACACTTGGGTTGTTTCCAGATTTTAGCTATTTTAAATAGCACTGCTATGACCATAGGGGTGCATATGTTTCTGACTGGTGTTTTGGAATTCTTAGGATATATTCCCAGAGGTGGGATTACTGAGACTTCCCATACACATTGCATCATTTTGTTAATGATTAAAAATGCAGTGTTCAGGGCACAGTATTATAAATATCACTCCTGTCTTGTGATACCTACTCAAAGATGATTCATATGCAATGGATTTTATAATTTTGCTATGTTATTGTGAATTTAGGATTAATTGACAATGACCTGCAACATTTCACTGTTTATTCCTATCTATCAGATAAAATGGCTGTATGGAAGAGTAGAAAGTGACCCATCAATATGTCACCAGATAGAGCCTTTTATTTCAGTTCTGCCCCGAGATAATTATAGAACCTAGAGAATGTCTTTCAGACTCTTCAGTTTTTCTCTTCTATGAAATGAAGTGTTGGACTGAACTCAAAGATCCCTCATAACTCTAACAGGCTGTGAGTGGGAAGGTCAGATTTAGGGGCTTGGAGCCTGACAGTTTAGCTTTGAATTTTGATTTGCCACTCATTAGCTCTGAGACCTAGGTAAGATCTCCTTGAGGGCCAGTTACCTAATTTTTCATAAAATTTATTACCCTTATTTTTCTAAGGGTTATTATAAAGAGTAAATAATATAATGAATCCATCAACAATCTTGTCAGCTCTACCTTCAAAATAATTTCAGAGTCTGATGACATATTTTCTCAAAGCTACCATCATCTTTTACCCAAAGTGTTCCAGTGGCATCCTACATATAGTAGCCTCCCTTGTCCACAGTTTTGCTTTCTGTGGTTTCAGTTACTTGCAA